GTGTTCCAAACAGCAGCTGAACAAATGACAGGTGTCATGACTACAGCCTCTCACCCATCCTATCATTCAATGAACTACAAGACCTAGAGCAGGCGCGCCGACCTTTTGCAAGATGAAGGGACAAGCCATCCATGCAGGACTCTGCCAACAGGCTTCCCTTCTCCCCTCCCTCTTCCTTAGCTGCTCCACAGCTCAGGGTGGGCGGGGGGGAAAAGCTGTGTGGCACAGCACCAAACTTTAAACCAGGGAGCAGCTGCTCCTGTTACCAGCCAGCTGTTCAAACTGACAAGGTACACATTAATGCTAGGTGGGAGAGAGGGTTGGTGTTCCTGCCTACCCCGACCAACCGCGAACACCGGGACTTACCCACATGCGCTATGGAAGATGCAAGCCCGCGTCTGCAAAACAGCCTTCGGGATCTCTTCTGGCTCTCCTGGCACAGCTTCCCGCACAGATGGAGCCTCCACAAAAAAAAGCACGGAGGCGATGAGCTGAGCATTTTCCTTCTATTGTACTAGTAGGAGTATTTCACAAGTAAGAACTCTGAAGGAACACATCTTGTCTAGCACAATTGAGGTCTCCGTCGCTAATGCGTGTGTTCCAAAGAGCGGCTGAACAAAGGACAGGTACCAAATGAAGATGTACCAAATGCCAAAATGAAGATGCAAGCCCGGGTCTTTTTCTGCAGGAAAATATCCTGCAACACAGCCTCCGGGTTCTCTTCTGACTCTTCTGGCAAAGCTTCCTGCACAAATGAGGCCTCCGTGAAATCCAAAGGCCCTTTCACGCCTTAAGGTGTCATGGATCACCAAAACAACTGAATTCGCGGCCTCCGCCTTCCTTCTCTTCAGGGAATCCTGCAATTTTTCATATGAGGACTCCGGTGTTCTTCCACAAGTGCAAGGTGTCATGACAACACATCACACTATATCGCAATGCGACAAAAAAGCAAGTGTTGGCTCCTCGGGTGAGGAAGATTGCTGGGGAGATTCCTGCAAGTATGAACACATGAAGTGAACTGGTGATCTACATTTGCACGCGTTCCCCGAGACATACCAGACCTTTGGACAAATTGGGGTAGGCCGTTATATGCAAGGTGTTATGACTACAGCCGACTTCCAGATTCCAGGAAGTAGAACAAGGTTCGATCCTCGGTACCTTCGATACCTTGTCCCTGGGTGGACAAATGGCTTGCGCAGAAAGAGGGAAACACATGAAGTTGCACCTGCATAGCCTCCTGCACCAGGTGGCCAAGCGCTGTTTCAAGTGTCTCAGGATCATGCACCTGGGCATATTCAGAGCAAATATGTTAAACAATGCGCCGCGCCAGGCCACAAGTATCCAAGATGAAATGACCATGTTCCGCTCGTTGTGTTTGCCCCTTTACGGTGTCATGACTACAGCTACTCAGAACCTTCAAAACGCAAGGTAACTAAAGCCTGCTGCTTCTGTTGGCATGGGGAAGGTTCCTGCAAGCACAGCTCGAGCCTCCAATACCAAACTAAAACTTCTGAACAATTGCTGTTACGCAATCTAAGAGCCAATGACCGTCATATGGAAGGTGTCATGACTACAATAAATGGTCAGGAAGTAAGAACGTTTGGTCCTCGGTATCATTGATTCCTTGTTCCTGGGGGTGGGCAAATTGCTTGAGTATACAGAAAGAAACACATAGACAAACATGCAGTGGCACCCTCACGTATTGCTGGACCAGTTGGCCAAGCGATGCTTCCAATTCTGGGGCCTGGTCACAAATGTGCAATCTGGTCCAAAGCGGGAAGACGGATAGACTGTGACTGTGCCTCTTGGCCTTCTTCTCTGCGTTTCTTTACCTAGCCACAGTCACAAAACTTTGGTTGTTTTGTATGCGTCAAGAACGGCAATGGTACATCCTCAGCAAAGCCCCACTACACATGCAGAGTGTTTGGCCTCCTTTGCAAGAGTCTGCACTTTGACCTCCAGTCGAAAACAAGATCAAAGACATTCCCCCTAGAGTTACGCTAATCAGTATCTGTCCTCCAGACTCGAGGACTCGGTCTGCATTTGGTCTTCAACTTCCTGGTAAGATCTCTTTTCAGAGTTGCTCTACATATGTAGTGTTGACAGCTGACAATCCCAAGAAATCCTCCAGGGTTTGGCTGACTTCTGTTGTCGCAGGCAGTCCTGCGCAGGCAGTCCAAAGCATAGTCTTGACATTGCCATGCGCTGGACTACTACATACAGAGCAAAATAGAAGTATTTGCCTAGCGCTGCTCGCTTGGCCTCAGCATTTTGTGACTGAATGGAAGCTTGATATGTGATCGGGGGCAACAAAGTGCTGAGCTATCAGCTGCCCTTGCTTCTTGCATCAACTCTGCACCCGCAGCCTGCATCTTTTTTTAAGCATGCGCGCATATTCATTCATGCACTACATACATCTGAATAGCTTTCTCAGATCCGAACATCGCTTGCCCCCATCGCCTACCATAGAACTATCTACAGTAATCCCATTTCTTCCAATTCAACAGCAGGGTTGACTGTAACACAAATGCCAAGTCAATACACAAGTGTGGCCTCAAGATCGCGCAATGACTCTGTCATTGACCCCCACACGTCGACATTGGCAGCCATGGCGGACAAGTGCCCGGCATCTGGCTGATTCTGCTCGATGTCACTTTTAGCAGGCGAAACTGCCTGTCAGCTCACTCGCAGAGCCACACAAATAGGAACCGCTAGTCGCGTGCTTGTTCCTAGTAGCGATGCCCTTTGTTCCTAGTAGCTTCTTGTTCCTAGTAGTAAGGCCAGGAGCCCCTAGTAGCGTCCTTGTTCCTAGTAGCGATGCCCTTTGTTCCTAGTAGCTTGTTCCTAGTAGTAAGGCCAGGAGCCCGAGCCCCTAGTAGCGTCCTTGTTCCTAGTAGCGATGCCCTTTGTTCCTAGTAGCTTCTTGTTCCTGGTAGTAAGGCCAGGAGCCCCTAGTAGCGTCCTTGTTCCTATTCG